ATGCTAAATGCCATTATATCAATAAACGCAGGGTGTCAAACGGGTTGACGGCGGAAACGGAAATCACAACAAAGTGCTGACATGTGCCGCGGTTGGCAGGCGTTCACACACGCACACACACACTCACACTCATGTGTGTGTGTGTTGTGGGTGTCAAGTTCCTTTTCACGCGCAAATTGAGTGCTTAAGCGGTTTAGTTGGCACGTCGGCAAGGGGTTAAGGGCCGGAAACTGAGGCGTTCGTAAGCCGTAAGCATTCGTCTTGGAATTACACTTGAGAGAGCAGGCCGCACACACACACACACACACACACGCACACGCACAGCCAATTTTCCGGCTGAGCCACGCCCCACGCATTTGCTGCTTTAAAATTCATGGGCCTGATTTGCAAAATATTATTTATTGTCAACGCTTGCAGTTTGTTATCCTGGCCCCTGCCAGGACATTCATGTGTGTGGCAGCGATAAGGCCAACCCCCCGCCCCCTTTTCCGTGGAAAATGCCATTTGCATACGCTTTTCCTTTTGGCAAACGAAAGGAAATAAAAATCGCAAGTATTTGGCAGCGGGTCGCGTGCCGGCAGCATAATTTGCAGACCGCCTTTATTTTGCGGCATACTTACAGGCGCCGCACACAAAAGTGCCACAACAAGCACACACGCACACACACACACACGCACTGGAGATAAAGATGCCGTCTCCAATAGCAGCAGCCGCTGCCCTCATTTGTTGTTATTTATGCTGAGCCTGGCATTGAGACAGCCTCGGCCACATTTCCTCTGCATGCTGCAATTACAGGGTGTGCGTGTGTGTGTGTGTGTGTGTTGTGTGTGCGGTACACAGCTGCGGCAAGCATGTCCTTGTCCCTTTGGCAAGCGAAAATACACGCAGAGCAACATCTCATAATAATAAACATGCTGGGCGCAAGCTTTTTTTATTGCCGTTGAATTGATACAAGAAATTATGTTTTTGATTTTTATTGCGCTGCCAAACATATGATGTTCGCGCACACACACTTACACACTCACACACACACATGCACACACACGCACAGTCTTGGCCAATTATGGAGTCGCTTTTGCATGCGGCGGGATTATTTGTAAGCGCTTCCATTTGCCTGCTTATTGCCTCGATTTCAGCTGGTTTTTGAGCAACTCCAAATTCAAATTTAATAACCCTCCCCTCGCCGCAGTAAAAACCACATATGTGGCTTGTGGCTTCATGATTATACAAAGGCAGCTCTGGATACTAAACTTGTAAGCCCCGTAACACATAAATAAGGGGCATAGGGTTGCCAAACATTTCAATTTATTTCATTAACCCCTAATTGGCAAGCACATTTAGCTATTAGAGGGTATCTAATAGTCGCATCCCATACCTAATCTCTTAAATCATACTTGAGGCATAGTTTAGCTTTTAAGAGAGCATTGTAGATCTCTCCATAACCCTTATTACATTGTAAAAAACTATTAGAGGGTATTTTACAGTCGTATATCCTCTACTTTTGTATGCCACTCGGCTTCCCAGCCCATTTAAGACTCAAAAAAATATTAAATATTAAAGATAAGTTCTTAAAGACCTTTACAGTAATCTAGGGTATCTTACAGTCGTAAATTAATCCTAATTGCATTGTGAAAACAATTCTAAGGTATTTTACAGTCGTACACTTTTTACTTTTTACAGTTCATTTAAGACTAAGAAAAACATTGGAAATATTAAAGCTTAGTTTTTGAAGACCCTTACATAACTTTAGGGTATCTTTGAGTCGTATATAACCCCTAATTGCATTAAAAAAACAATTCTAGGGTATTTTAAAGTCGTATACTTCGTTTTTTTGTATACCAGTGGATTTTCAAAAAGAAAATATATATTAGATAAGATCTGGAAAGCATTTAGAGCTCTCTAGGGTATCTGACAGTCGTATATTTCTGACTAGTCCCGTTTAAATTCAATTTCAAAAGCTGACCAGCTGAGAGAGCGCTAATCGCATATCGTTTACGATCTGTAGCTGGATCTGAGTTTAAGCTATCGAGCATAGGAAAACTTGGTTCGCATCGGATGACACCAGATACCAGGCCAGAGCAGAGATATGGTTTTTGGGGTTGATTCAATCAGACGGCCTGATAACGCCTAACCACAGAGACACAGGCGAAATCAGAGCTGTCAAGGGGGATGGGTCTACTACATAAATACTATAAAACATTACAGTTGAGATACATGGAACGTAACAAGGTTGCACTCAAAATATTGTCAAACAATCTTTCCGTATCGATAAATAATAGGCAACAACTTTGATACACTATTTGCGAATGATATTATTTGAATTTGATTTGTTCTTTGTTCTTTGCAATATCTTGTAAAATACTGAGAACTTGCGCATAAAGTTTCACCTTGATAACCCTGGAAAATGTGTGAATCCATTGAAAATGTGTGCGGAAGGGTATAATGTTTTTGAGCCTGTGTATGTCACAGGCAGAAGAAGGCATCTCCTTACCCATAAAGTATATATATTCTTAGGCAGCTTTAGAGGCTATAGAAGATTTGAGCCTAGCTCCGTCTTTTGCCCGCTCAGATCAAGTTTTTTTCTTTAAGTCCTCGATAACTTTCCACGATTACAGGAAATCGATCAAAATCGATAACGAAATATTGTTATTAAAGTAAATTTCAGAGCTTATAAGACCTGGAGACATCAAATTTGTTTTAGAGACTGGCATAGAATACAAGGATCCAGGATATTTCCCCTTTTGGATACCTTCCGTTTTAAATAGAAACAGATGCGACTGCTTGAAAGGACAACTCGGCGTTAGATACAGGGTATCTCCTAGTCGGGCATTGCCAACTTAAGCACACCTACTTGTTTATTATACTTTTGAATTTGTCTGATCCAAGTGCAAGCAACGCCAGGCAAATCTAATAAAGAATTTTGCTCTGGGATGGCACATGCACACACTGAAATCTTGGCTTGGAATTGATGTCAGTGACACAGTCACACACACACACACACACACACACACACACACACACACACGCACACACTGAGGCGGAGATCAACGCTGAATTGGAATTAGCTTTGAAGTCTCGACTCGGCTTCCATTCCCAGCGAGGCGAGGCGAGGCTTTCATCGACTCATCTTAGAGCAACGTTCCACGGTTCTACACAGATATTATAAACGCAGCGCTTAGCTTAGTTTAGTACGGCTACGGTTACGGTTACGATATCGTCGTGTCTCGCGACGAACTAAGATATAGATTTAAGTCTCTGATTTTGTCTTGTTTTTTTTTTCTTACTGGATATTCCAAAGAAGTGAAATGCCTAAATGATTGAATAATTGGGGTATATAGACATATCCAGTAAATATTTGGCTGACTAAAAGTTTGCCTAATAAGTGTTAATGCCCAAATCTAAAAGCTTAATTAACTAACGCCTAACGACTATCTATACATATATATATATGTATTTATTTATATAGTACATGTTATGATTCAAGCACAACATAATCAAGATAAAGTTCAAGTGATAAGCAGCGCATAAATTTAAATATGCTAAGTGAATTGTGGCGTTGACAATAAACACAAGCGAACATGCGAGTATGAGTATAAATGAGTACTCGCCTCTACTCGCCCACATACTCAAATATACTCAATTTGACATATGTATATATATATATATGTAGGCACATTTACATGCATTAAATAATAGAACACGTTGAACACAGCTCTTGAAAATCAAAATAATAATAGAAAGAATGGGAATGCGAATTATGGACTGAGAGAGAGATACAAAGAGAGAGAGAGGGGGGGAGAGCGAGAACGCAAGCGTAAGATTACATGCGGCTAAAGAGCTACAAAATAATACTTGATTGAAAAACTTAATGAAAAATATCTAGAAAAAAGTTTTAATAAAGAAAAAATACCTCAGCTAGACTGGAAAATAATTATACACAGGATATCTAAAAAGGCAAAAAAGTATTTTATACCAAAAAAGGGGAATTTGGTGATATGATATTTGATATTTTTTTGATAGCTATAGAGATCTGAACGTATTCGAAATATAGAAAAGACACCTTTATATAGTTTTACCGAGAAACTGTTACTGTTAATATTGAACAAAATTTATGGGATCGGATGTCAGATGTTTTTCTTATAACAGCCTTTGCAGTGGAACATAAATTAAATAAGTTTTACTTTCGATATTTTGACCTATAATATAATCCCAATATAGAATATAGTAGAACTATTTTCATTAGGTTTGGAAAAGATTATTTAATTCGCTTTGATTCTATTTTGTTTAATTGAAGAATTTTCTTTATTTTCAAGAGTTTATTTTAAATGAGATTATGTGCGCCAAGGCAACTTCTAAGAATTATGATAAAAGGGCATAGTAAATATATAAAAAAATTTAAGATATTAAGTTCTTGTTAATTTCATCACGAATTTAAACAAAACAGATGAGTATTGTCTGTCGAAGGCACAAACTAAGGCCAAGCAATGATAGTGCATGAAAAGCTTATCAGGAAATTTCTCTCAGTACAGCCCCGAGTGTGGCTGTGTGTGTGTGTGAGTGTGTATAATGTGTGTGTGTGTGTGCATAAGCCCTGAGCATATTTATACGGTTTATGTTAATGCACACAGATATCTCTTATCACACGCGTCGCGGCTATTTTAGTATTTTATAATTTTATATTGTTTGAGAAAAAAAAAAACAACAAAGGAAAAGAAAACAGCAAGAAAGGAAAATGAGAAACAATAAATTTTGCGGTATTTAACAGAAGCAATGAATGATAAAAATTGCAATTTGTTGTTGGTTTTTGTGAAAAATCCCGTCGGGTTCGCCTCTCAAATATTAAAGATTAGAGCCAGGCGATAGCCCATTAAAGATAATCTCTCAACAACGACAGCGGACAACGCACACAGATCTTGACAGACAGAAGCGACAACAATAACAACAACAACGAGGAGAAGAGAAAAGTGTCAACAGTGTGCACATCATTCGGATAGACTGTGTCTCGATTTTCGTATTCAGTTAAGATCACGCGTAATTTGGGCACAACATGCCACTCGATCCGCAAATGGTGACGCGTGCGGTTCTCCTCCAGCAACACTTCGATCCCAGCCACTAAAACAAGCCAAGCCCAAACCCTAGCTAATTGCTCGTGAAAGATCCGAAAATTAAGAACTATTGTCGAGAGTGTGTGTGTACGTGTGTGTGTGTTCCTCTGCCGGAAGAGTCCGATGTGCTGCTGAAACATCCGTGAAATAGCAACCAGAGCAACCAATAAAAAAAACAACAAAATACAATGGTGCAGAGCGACGAGCGCATTGCGGAGCTGGCGGAGCCACAGTCGACGCAGGACGTCGAGGCGCCCTCGCCCCGTGTGTCCAGCATCGAGCAGGAGCAGCTGGAGCTGCTGGAGGAGGAGGAGGTGCGACACATAGATGCCGCTGCCAAATTGCTGGACAATGGCAACGCACATGGCGCTGAGACGGACAAAAGTGCACAGGCCCGCATAAAGGCCAAGTTAAAGAAGGAGAAATCCGAACAGGATCGCCTCATGACCGAGGAGATTAACAAGCTGCTCAACGAGATGCCGCTCGAGAAGAATGTCACCTGCGGATTTTGGATCTTACGCGGCGCATTCTTTCAGCGGTAGGTGCAAAATTCTATATCTATATCTATATATACATCTATATATATATCCATATCTATATATATATCCATATCTATATATATATCCATATCCATATCCATATCCATATCCATATCCATATCCATATCCATATCCATATCCATATCCATATCCATATCCATATCCATATCCATATCCATATCCATATCCATATCCATATCCATATCCATATCCATATCCGTATCCGTATCCGTATCCATATCCATATCCATATCCATATCCATATCCATATCCATATCCATATCCATATCCATATCCATATCCATATCCATATCCATATCCATATCCATATCCATATCCATATCCATATCCATATCCATATCCATATCCATATCCATATCCATATCCATATCCATATCCATATCCATATCCATATCCATATCCATATCCATATCCATATCCATATCCATATCCATATCCATATCCATATCCATATCCATATCCATATCCATATCCATATCCATATCCATATCCATATCCATATCCATATCCATATCCATATCCATATCCATATCCATATCCATATCCATATCCATATCCATATCCATATCCATATCCATATCTATATCTATATCTAATCTATATCTGTATCTGTATCTGTATCTGTATCTGTATCTATATCTGTATCTGTATCTGTATCTATATCTATATCTATATCTATATCTATATGTATATCTATCTAACTCCTAATTCCTCTCCTTCCTTCAGCTTTGCCAATCAAACTGCCTACGTTCTGCTCTATGGCATTGTGGGCTGCATCTTCTCCATGACCTATGCCTACTTCAATGGCACCATTACCACCATTGAGAAACGCTTTAAAATACCCTCGAAAAACACGGGCATCATATCTGTGGGCAATGACATTAGCCAGACTCTGGTCTCCGCCGTTTTGGCCTACTACGCCGGCAAGGGACATCGGCCGCGCTGGATAGGATTTGGTGAGTGGCGGGCGGAAACTTTTATGTAGCTTCTCTTATTTCGCTCCTCCTCTCCTCTTCCAACAGGTCTGCTAACTATTGTCGTGTTCTGTCTGATGACCACCTCGCCGCATTTCCTCTACGGGCCCGGCGAGGATGCCTTGGCTCTGACCAAGGAGTTCGGCGCCCTGCCCGACGAGAACGCCACCCTGGAGGCCATTGAGGAGCAGCGCGCGAAGACCCTATGCCGTCTCACCGGAGGCGGCGCCGAGTGCGAGGTGGGCGAGGGCAACTTTGCGCCCCAGGTGCTGCTCTTTGTCGCCCAGTTCATATCTGGCATCGGCGGCTCCCTATACTATACACTCGGCGTCTCCTATATGGATGACAATACAAAGAAATCCAAGACTCCAGCCCTGCTAAGTAAGTTTCACGTACGTCTCTTATGGCTTTACGACTCCCATAAAAACCCGGGGCGCCACGCTGCTTTTGCCAGATAAGCTAAGATACACCTACTCCTTAATTGCTGCAACTATCGCTTCCGTTTATAAACGCTCGATTAGACGAATGATTCAGCAAAGTTGATAAGCTTTCGAAACTATGAAAGATTCTCAGAAAACGAACACATTTTGATGCAGACAAAAAAAACAAATCTCAATTGGAATATTGTGAGAAAACATCCATCTAATGTCTTCCTATAAAGTCTCCGGATCTCTGAAGTATCTCAAGTCCATAATCTTTTAAATTTGTCTAGAATATTTAATCCCTTTAAATTTCACTATCTAACTATCCAAGGCTCTAAGAAAACCAACACATTTTGATGCAGGCAAAAAAATAATATTTCAATTGGAAGATTGGAAGAAAACACGACATCCATCTTATGTCTTCCTATAATATTTAAGGTCTGCGAATCTCTCAAGTATCAAAAGTCGATAACCCTTTAAATTTGTCTAGAATACTTAAATCCTTAAGATATCAAAACTATCTAAGGTTATAAGAAAACCAACGCATGCTGATGAAAGCAAAAAAAAACCATTTAAATTCGAAGGAATTCAGAAAAGTTACGGAAATTCACAGCATCTTATGTCATCCCGTAACATTTAAGGTCTGCGGATCTCTGAAGTATCTAAATTCCATAATCTTTGAAATTTGTCTAAAATAATTAGATCCTTTAGATGCCTTAATAAGCTTCTCAACTCTTTAGGCAAGCTGAAGCCCTTATTCCCGCAATCTGTGTAATTCCTTGCTTTTCGGATTCAGACAAAACGGACGCAAACCCCAATATACTCTGTTTGACTAACTGAACAGAGCATTATTATATATGTAAATAACACTCACCCGGTCTCTGCTTTAGGTCTGTCGTACTTTTTGCGAATGCTGGGCCCTGCGATTGGCTATGCTTTGGCCTCCTTTTGTCTGCGCTTGTACATTGCGCCGCAACTGCATCCGGTTATCAACAACAAGGATCCACGCTGGCTGGGCGCCTGGTGGCTGGGCTGGTTAGTCATGGGCGGTCTGTTATCTTGCTCGGGCATCTTTTTATCGATGTTTCCCAAAGAGCTGCCCCGTGCCGCCGCCAGACGCTTGGTGGAGGAAAAACGTCGTCGCGAACGTCTGTCGCTGAGGCAGAAGGAGAGCGCCGAGAAGGAGAAACTAACCGTGGAGCTGGAGCCGCAATCGACAGCCGAGCCGAAGGCCTCCTTTAAGGACATGCTGGTCACCTTCAGACGCCTGACCACAAACAAGACCTATATGTGCAACACGCTGTCGAATATCTTCTATCTGATAGGCTATACGCCCTTCTGGATATTCACGCCCAAATATATTGAGGTGCAGTACAAACAATCGGCGGCCACCTCCAGCATGGTCACGGGCACCGTGGCTCTGGCATTCTCTGCGATTGGAGTCCTGCTCTCCGGCTTTATCATCTCCAAATATAAGCCACGTGCTCGGTATATGGCCGCCTGGAATGTGATCTGTGCCGTTTTGGTTGTGGCCGGCGTGGTCACATACGCCTTTATTGGTTGTCCGGACAACGAGCGCTCGGTCATTGTCAATATTCACAATAGCGCCGTGAATGACACAGCCACGTGCAACTCGGCCTGCGCCTGCGACTATGTGCGCTACTCTCCGGTCTGCGGTGAGAATCATATGACCTATATATCCGCCTGCCACGCGGGCTGCAAAATGGAGCACGTGCGCTCCAATGGCAAAAAGGTAGGCCGCAGCTGGATGATTAATCTATGTATGGAAATAGCTTTAATCGCTTGCTCCTGATTCCTGTTTAGATCTTCTATGACTGCTCCTGTATACCAAGTGCGAGGAATAGCTCTTTCAAAAGGCTTACCGCACGCGATTTGGCCTTTGACAACAGCACCTGGGATCTAACTGGAAGAGCGCTGGAGAACTCAGCCTCTACATCGTATTTGGAGGTAACTTTTATATAGAACTTTTCCATTTAGTAACCAGTATTATCCAGCTATGCCCGGGCAAAGTCTTCTATTTCCGATCGTAGATTTTAAAAACCGAGTGTTGACAATTTCAGCTTCCTAGCACTTATGAATGGGGATATAAGCTCACTGTCAATCGGTGATTCAGTCAATCAATCAGTCCGTCAATCAGTAGAAAGATTTATATATATATAGATTTCGTAATTATAAATATTTATCCATTTTTTGACTCTGCGATATCACTGCATTGATTGTCAATCAGAAATCAGTTAATCAATCAATCAGTCACTCAGTAGGATCAGTATTATATATAGAGAGAGAGATTTTTAATCTTTTAAATCTCGTTCCTTACTTTCACTTTCAATCTGTGAATCAGTCAATCAATCAGTCCGTGCTCTTTCTCTCTGCGTTGATTGTCAATCAGTCAGTCAATCAATCAATCAGTCACTCAGTAGGGTGAGAATTATATAAAGAGAGAGATTTTTAATCTTTTAAATCTCGTTCCTTACTTTCACCTTCAATCGGTGAATCAGTCAATCAATCAGTCCGTGCTCTTTCTCTCTGCGTTGATTGTCAATCAGTGAATCAGTCAATCAATCAGAAGGATCAGAAAGACGTTTTTCATACTTATAATCCATTTCTTTACTCTCCCAGCAACTAGCCGCTGGTCAGGCCACGCCGGGTGCTTGTCCTGTCAACTGCTGGACACAATTTGTCGCCTTCCTGTCGGTCATGTGCTTCCTAAAGTTCATTGGCGCCGCGGGCAGAGCATCCAATTTTCTGGTCTCTGTGCGCTGTGTGCCGGAGAAGGACAAAACTGCTGCGATGGGATTTGGCATGATGTTGTGCTCGATGTTCGCCTTTATACCGGGACCCATATTCTTTGGCTGGATCTTCGATCGCATGTGCCTGGTGTGGGGCAAGACCTGCACCAACAAGGGCAACTGTTGGCTCTACGATCCCGAGTCCATGAGGTGAGTCCATATTCGATCTACCAATATCCAGTTAATAATTCGTTCGCTTTGATTTAGATACACGCTCAACTTTACGGCAGCTGTTTTTATATCCCTGGGCGCTATCTTTGATTTTGGAGTTTGGTATTACGTTAAGGATCTTAAGATATTCGATGAGGAAGTCAAAGAGGTCGAAATGCAAATTGTGCAGCACGAGGAGGAGATCAATGCTGAAAAGAATACCGAAATATAAGTGGCTAGAATAATGATAATAAATTTAAGCACAAGCTATTGTAAGTTATGATTGTGAGTGATTTATTGGCCTGTCGCTAAGATCGTATGTATATATATTTATATATATACGGTTTTTAACGATGCAGTCGGTTGGTATAATAAACTGAATTATGGGGCGGTTAAGATCGTGTGATAAATGCAACCGTCAAGGCTCTCAGTCTGCTATTAAAACACGTACAGTAAAATGACAACTGTACAGTGGTCACTCGTAAATGGGAACTATACAAAATTATATTTGTAAATTTATGCCTATATTTGAAAAACCTCCATTACAATAAGATCATATTATATACACATCTTCTTTGTTAGTTGCACGAAATAATTGTGATTTCAGAAATGAGAATTTGTGTTAATCCTATTCCGATTAGCGAGCGACCACTGTATATATGCAGTCTTAGGTTTTTATATATATCAAACGCATGTCTGTATTTGAACAATCTAAAATAAAGTACATAATTGCCAGTCGACAGTGCATAAAGCATATATAGCAGCAAGATACTACACAGAACTTATCTAAAGGAATTTAGAATTTACATGGGATTAGCTTGTAAATTGCAAGCATGCACATGATCATTATCTATATAGACGTACAGTCCGAGCTGCATCATTTGGGTATCATTTCAGTTAGAATTTCTAGTCTACAGTTTGACTAAAGCTTTTGCTAAAGTGCAGTTGGACTGAGTAATTTGACAATGGCAGATGAGGCGAGTGAAGCAACTGAGTTCCTAAAGACTCCCGAATCGAAAAAGGAAGAGAGCGAACAGCTCGCAGATATCCAATGCGGCTTATTCAAGGGTCCACGAATGCAAAGGTATTATATGAATATGCATTAATATAAAATAATATAATATAATACCCAATATTACAGCTGGGCAACTGAATATGTGTTCGCTGTGGTTTTCGGCATCGCGGGTTGTTTCGTAGCCATGGCATTTACATATTTCAATGGCACGATTACCACGCTCGAGAAACGCTATAGGATACCCTCGAAAACGACCAGCTTAATTATTGTGGGCACTGATATTAGCACGATTTTCACTTCCGGTTTGTTGGGCTACTATGCGAGTCGCGGACATCGGCCACGATATATTGCCTTAGGTAACGACTGAGTTTCGGCACGCCGAACATTAAATACTCTCTTAGAAATGTGACTTAGAGCGCGCAGATATGTGGATATATGTTATTGCTGGATGAGGTCAAGATATCTTAATGAACAGAAAGGTTTTGAACACATTCTTCCGATTTTATGGCATTTTGCTTATGTGTATGTAAGAAGCATCGTTCAACTAATAAATGCCTAGTTTGGTCACGATCTTGATCTTCGAGCGATCGTTCCCTTGTCAACTTAATGATATAGTAGTCCGATCCGGTCGATTCTTAAATAAGGATGTCCTATTAAGAAGGATCTATGCAAAGATCTATGAGGATTTAGTTCAAGATGAAATCCGAAATGTCTCGTTCTATGCGATACAATTTTCTTGACAAAATCCTAATACCCTCCACTTAATCTTCCACCAATCGTTGCCTTGGCAATTATATGATATAGTAGTCCGATCCGTTCGATTCTTGAATACCTTTTGCCTGCCCCAGAGAGAAGGGCCTGGATCAAGAATATATATACTTTATGTAGTCCGGAATATCTCGTTCTATGCGCTACGAATTGCTTGAGAAAATCCTAGGGTATCGAAACTTATAGATCCTAACTCACAGCCACACTTGCCCTTAGGTCTGGTCATCATGGCGGTATTTTGCGTGATGACAGCTTCTCCACACATTATCTATGGCGCTGGCGAGGATGCGCTGAAATTGACGCGTGAATATGTGCAAGTGGATCAGTTGAATGCGACGGATGACACGCTCTGCCAGGCCCAAAAAACCAGCTGTGGACAGGAGGCCTACCTTTGGGCGCCCATAGTTTTGCTATTTTCGGCACAGTTTATATCCGGCATTGGTTGTGCTCTGTTCTACACGCTGGGCATATCCTATATGGACGATAATTCAAGCAAAGCCAAGACGCCCGCAATGCTTAGTAAGTCTTGACCTCTTGACCTCAGTTAGCTACTGAATTGTGTTAATTTTCTCCCAACAGGCTGGTCCGTTTTCCTGCGCATGCTGGGCCCAACCTTTGGCCTATCCTTGGCCTCGGTTTGCCTGCGTTTCTATATAGATCCGCAGCTGGAGCCGCTCATTACCAATGAGGATACACGCTGGCTGGGCGCCTGGTGGCTTGGCTGGATCCCATTGACCATCATAATGCTCGTGTCTGCATTTTTCCTATACATTTTTCCCAAGGAGCTGCCCAGCGCCCAGGCTAGGCGATTAAAATCAGGCGGCCATGAGTCTGGCGGCAATTCCCTGACAGAGCTCTCCCTCAGCGACCTGCTGCTGGCCATCAAGCGGTTGGCCAATAATAAGGTCTACGTTTACAATAGCATTGCCGCGGTACTCTACGTTTTTGGCTATATGCCCTATTGGATGTTTACGCCCAAGTATATTGAAATCCAGTATCAACAGTCGGCCAGCACGGCAACCATGGCCACGGGCAGCGTTGCTTTGGGCTTCTCGGCAGCGGGCGTATTGCTCTCCGGCTATGTAATCTCCAAATATAGGCCCAGTGCACGGGCAATGGCCGCTTGGAATGGCATTGTTGATATATTTACAGTGCTGGGCCTGTTGAGCTATGTGCTCATCGGTTGCGATGACAGCGATAAGGCGACATCCATGTTCCCAAGCAGCGGCGGAGATGACAGCTGCACCGCCTCCTGTCACTGTGAATATGTACACTACGCTCCGATCTGCAGTCCACACAATGTCACCTACATCTCCGCCTGTCATGCCGGCTGCAGCAGCAGAGCCAAGGATGAGCTGAATCAATTCATATACACAGGCTGTAAGTGTATTGGCGCGTCGGATATAGCGAATGCTACTCAGGTAAGTCTTCTAGATATTACACTATAATTATTGGCATATTATCGAGGAGACAACTTATTTGACTTTCAAAGTAGAACCGACTAAGCAGGCCTTCAGCTAAGTCAAATTCGAACCGTCGACTTTCTTTTAACCTAAGGTTCGAACCACGTCTTCTAGATATTACAATATAATTATCAGCATATTATTTAAGACTTAGTTGGATTCTATCGAGGAGACAACTTATTTGACTTTCACAGTGGAACCGACTAAACAGGCCTTCAGCTAAGTCAAATTCGAACCGTCGACTTTCTTTTAACCTAAGGTTCTAACCACGTCTTCTAGATATTGCACTATAATTATCAGCATATTATATAGGAATTTGTTGGACACTATCGAGGCGACAACTTGTTTGACTTTTAGAGTGGAGCCGATTAAAAAGACCTTCAGCTAAGTAAAATTCGAACCATCGACTTTCTTTTAATCTTAGGTTCGAACCACGTCTTCTATCAGTACATTATATCGGACATAGTTGGACACTTTCAAGGCATCAACTTATTTAACTTTTAGAGTAGAACCGACTGAGACAATTTCGAACCATCAACTTTCCTTAAACTTAAGATTCGAACCAGCAACCTATTAATCGTATATATCCTTTCTAATAGCACCAATTTGCCCGACAAGGTGCTTGTCCGGCAGACTGTTACAACCAGTTTCTCATCTTCTTGGGCGTGATGTGTTTTCTTAAATTCGTGGGCTCCTCGGGCAGAACTTCCAACTTGTTGTTGGGTTTGCGTTGTGTCTCCTCGGTGGATAAGAGCCTTGCTTTGGGTCTGAGCAATATGATCGTCGCCATACTCGCCTTTATACCCAGTCCCATTGTATTTGCCTCGATTTTGGACTCCTATTGTCTAGTCTGGGGCAAAACATGCAGCAACACGGGCAACTGCTGGCTATATGATACCAAATCTTTGCGGTAAGTTTTCAGAACTTTCAATTTCGTACTTAAACTAAATAAATCTTTTAATTTTTCTGCAGCTATACGATGAATTTCATGGCGGCCTCGTGCATTTTTGCTAGCAGCTTTTGGAACATTGGTGTCTGGTATCATGCCAAGGATCTAAAGATATTCGAGGAAGAGGAGACAAGCCACAAGGAACCAGAACAATTTGAATTAAACCAGAAAGTTAGCGAGATAAAAAAGAACTCATTATAATCGAAATGAGCCAAGCGCCATAAATATTATTTAAATACACACGGTTGTTTACTTTATGATTTTTAAGTTTGGGTTTATCACCTTTTGCAAAGATAAACATAGCGAAAGATATTATAAATTTTGCAACTCTGAATGAGTACATAAAATACCTTAATGTTTGTTTTGCTTGGCACGCGAGTTTTCTTTTAGATATAAGCGTGTGTTCTGGCTGACTGACTGTTTCGAGATCAACGCACGGCCTAAGCGCTAGGAAGGTCAACGTTTAAAAGAAGCTACCTTTTTGATCAAAATTCGATCAGCTTGCTTTGTAAACGTGACGTTGTTAACCAGCGAGAGGTCGCCGGTTCAAACTCAGCAAACTAATTGTCAAGAAAAACGATGTTATAACAACAATCATAACTTTTCTACTTTGCGTTTTAGCTCCAGAATTTAAAACTATGTTATACACATTATTATCTCATCAATATTGCTGTCTTGTCTAGCGAGAGGTCGCCGGCTCAAACCCATATAACAAAAATCATAACTACTATGCGTTCTTTACGTTTTAGCTTCAATTTGCTGTCAATATTGCTGTCTCATCTTCGCGGAAATTAAAATCTTGAAATCTCAAGCGATATATATAAAATCGCACACAATGATATAAAGATTTAAGCATCATTTGTGTTATAAGATAAGATTAAGTATACCCGAAGTTTTATAATGGTTAAAGCAATAATTGTCGCCAGGGGTTTATTGAAGCATTCGCCAGCTGCTGCCCAGATATACTTGCCCAGAAATAGTTTGCGGTTAGTCTAGTTTACAATTTTGATGGAATCGGTTCAAAATGAGCCTCGACAAGAAACAAGAACAAGCGGAGGGTCTGCCGTTCCTAGGCGATGCTGCTAACAATGGGAAACCGCCTAAGGAGAAACCGCACAAGGATATCAGATGCGGATTTTGGATATTTAAAGGATCAAAGCTGCAGCGGTATGGCGGGGAATACGAAATGCTATCAGTTGAATATATAAATATATAACCTTTGCAGGATGGCTACCGAAAAGTTTTTCGTTGTAATTTATGGCATCGGCGGCTGCCTTTTATCTATGTCTCTGGCTTACTTTAATGGCACTATCACGACCTTGGAGAAGCGCTATAAAATACCAACAAAAATGTCTGGCATGATTATAGTTGGAAATGATCTGAGCATGATGATAACCTCCGTCCTGGCGGGCTACTATATACACAAAGGACATCGCGCGCGCTGGATTGGCTTTGGTAAATCAATTCAATCGATCCGAGTTGGTTCATTTGTCCATTTTAATGAATTGGATTTTCAGGTTTTTTTACGATCTTTATATTC